CCCGTCCCATACCATATGGGAAATTGGTGGCTCAGAGGTTAGAGAAGATGGGCCAGTGATCGGAAGGTCGTCTGTTCAACTTCCCGTACAGACAACATTAAAATGTAAGTGGGAAAGGTGAAGCACCCACACCTGTCTCCACCCTCATTTTTCCCATGCTGGGCCCCTGATCAAGGCTCCCAACCTTCTCCAGCTGCTCCCCCGGGTGCCCCAGATAGCAGCTCTCTGCTTCACACAGAGGGCTGAGGTAGCTCGGTGGTCTGTGGTTGCTTTAGGAAGGGCATCCAGCATAAAAACAATTTCCATCGCTCTGGGAACCCATGAAGAGGGGAGCAGCTAAAAGAAGAAGAAGAAGAAGAAGAAAAAGGTCCTAAACTGGACACATTTTAAAAGAAATTTCAGTCCAAATTTCATTTGACTTTTATATCGGAAATCGTCAAGAAGTGGCAAGATCAAATGCAAACATTAGCCAAGCATGGCTGCTCTTTTTTTGCCTAATCTTCTGCACTTTATCACTTGGTTGTTATTATGTCAGCTCCAAATGCAACAACTACAAAAGTGATCCACATGCACTGACATATGCATTTACATAAACACAGTGAGCTGCACATGACTTTATGTCTTCTTCTGTGCATGCAAACTGCTTCAAGGCTGACTGGAGCCTGATGATGGTCGTATTTACATCTTAATGTGAACAATCAAGTAAAAAATAAAAAAATAAAATATCGTATCTCAGCTAATCAGAACTGAACATTGAAAGCTGCAGTGTGAACATACATGTATCAGACAATAAAATCTCAGAGAAGACGTTTAGGTGGAAAAATAAGAGTGAATCCAAAGAAAAAATATGTATGGGTCACCTGTGGACAAAAAAAGTCACATTACAGCCATTTTTGCCTGCGGTGTGACGATGATGATGAAAATAATAATAATAATAACAATAATAATAATAATAATAATAATAAATATTGCTGTAGTAGTGGGCTTATCTCTCAAATCCACTTCCAACAAAAAAACTTAAGTATGCAATATTTCAAAATATTATAATCCTGTGCAATATTTTTATGTATGCAAAAAGAAACATTTACATTTTTACGTTGTACATATAGTTAAATGTTGTATGCTATTTATTATATCCTTATCACCCACTGTTAAAAAGCAAAACGTGGGCACTATGTTAATGCCTTCATCTGTGTACCTGTGTTTGTGTATGAATCTGTTAGTAAAAAAAATAATGGATCAGAAGACAGATTTTATTGAAAATTGCAGGAAATAACCATTGGATGTACGCCTTTTTTCTTTTATTTTTTTTAATACATTTAAATTCCACAAATGACTGAAAGGCTGAACCTATTGGTCAGTCAGCAGCCAGCTGAATGCAAAATTTGAGATTTTGGCCAAGTGGATGCCTCGTCAACAAACTCATGTAGAGGGTCCAGTAAAGATGTGATACCACAAAGAGCACACCCACATGGTCCTCTTTCAGAATCATTTGCCCCACTGACCCAAGAGCCATCAGTCAAGACAGACCAGCCTCAAAATGTGAGGGGAAACCTAAACAAACACAAAAAACAGCAGCACTCACAACAACAACTTGCAAGTTTTGTGCACCAACTGCATTTATCTACATGTGACCATTTTCCTGTCAAATGTGTCTTTCAGTCAATGTTTTCAGGGCAAACATTCATCATTTTGGAGAAAATCAATGTTTCTATTGAAGCTAAGTCAAGTCAAATTTATTTATAAAGCACATTTAAAACAGCAGCTGTTATCAAAGTGCTTAACAATAAGATCAAGGCAGTAAATTAAAGAAAGAGAACAATAAGAAGATGTAAATAAAAGCATTAAATAACAACATAAAAACACAAAAACAATGAGAATCAATGAAATACTAAATCAAATCGTACTGTGTTAAACATCAGTGAAAGGTGTTTTTAGGAGAGATTTAAAAGCAGAGAGTGAAGTGGCCTGTCTAATGTTGATGGGCAGATTGTTCCAGAGTTTAGGGCCCATGACTGAAAAATCCTGATCTCCTCTGAGCTTCAGCCTGGTTTTTGGTACAACTAAAAGCAGCTGGTCAGATGATCTCAGTGCTCAGGAAGGAACATTTGGCTAAAGTACATAAATCTCAGACTCTCAGAAGATGCATAAATCTCTGACCTATCGGTCAGAGATTTATGCACTTAAATGTCAACAAGAGAATTTAAAATCAATTCTGACATGCACAGGGAGCCAGTGAAGGGAAGACAAAACTGGTGAAATATGCTCAAACTTACGAGTTCCTGTTAATAGCTGAGCTGCAGCATTTTGGACAAGCTGGACGTAAAAGGGACACCCCAACAAAAAGCATGTTACAGTAGTTTAGCCGGGTTGTAACTAATGCATGGACTATTTTTTTCAAGATCAGATCTGGTCAACACGGACTTAAGCTTAGCTATCTGCCTTTACTGGAAGAAGCTTTTTTTTCTAGACCAGAGTTAATCTGTTTGCTAAACTTAAAGTCAGAGTCTAAAACCACCCAGAGATTTGTAACAGACTGCTTAAGATGCAGCTCAAGTGAGTCAAGGTAAACAGGAACAGAGAGCAGTAGAGCTAGGGCTAAACACAATGACTTCAGTTTTTTGATCGTTGAAACTTTAAAAGTTTGAAGCCATCTATGCCTTAAAGTCATCAAGACATTTTAACAGAGGGTGGATTGTGCATGAACTATTTGTTTTTAAGGGCATAAAAATATGACAATCATCAGCATAGCAATGGAATGAAAGACCATGTTTCCTCAAGATAGAACCCAATGGGAGCAGATACAATGAAAACAGAAGGGGTCCAAGAATAGAGCCTTGCGGGACCCTGCAGGAAAGAGGCACTCAAGCAGATAAACTATTACCAACGTTAACACAAAAAACCCCACTGTCGCTCAGATATGAACAGAACCATTCTAATGCTGCAAGCAAGCAGTATGTTTTCACTCTAGATTATTTTAATCTCCAAATTTCAATCTTTTCAAACGCCATAAAACTTTAGGTCACATGTATGATGAAAGTATAAAAACAATGAATTGGAAAGCAAAATAACCTTGAAAATATGTGAACAAAAATAAGGTAGAAATCGGTGGACTGCGTGTTTTCATTTCATCTCCACCTTCCCCTCTCTTGCCAAAGCACCAATGCAGTGTTGACATAATTTGTGATGTGATGGGAAAGAAATTCAATTGGCCTGTCTGCACCGAGCAGAGCTGTCCTTGTAGTTTTATGTCCCTACCCCCTCCTCATTTACAAGACCCACAAGTTATGGCTCGGCTTCTCCAAGTCCTCCAACTGCAGCACTTATAAAAAAACATTTGGTGAGACATCGGGTCATGCCGTCTCACACAACATAAATTCTATAAGTTATAACTTCAGGAGAAAAGGGTTTAGGTTAAAGGAATTTTAGAGAATTATTTGGGTTATGTAACATCCTTCAACGTGTGCAATAACATGAACTTTCTTTACCTTATCCCATGCACTTTTAAAGGTAAAATCATGTAGTTCTTGTTTTCAAAGAAACTTTACAACATTAATTATAACACAGAACATGAAAAGAAGCTGTGCAAGATAAATGACTCCCAAAGCTCTTTTTCTTATTGAGTTATGTGACAAACAGTGATTTGAGGAGCGCAGGGGCTCAGTTAAGGAGTTCTCTGAATCATGTGGACTTATGGGATTGAATGTGACAGGGGAACAATGCACCTGACCCACATAGACACAACTGTGAGTTCACTGAAGGCCTGGAACTGTATCCCCTCCTGAATTTCAACTTATGACCACTTTCTGTGGGAGTGTTGTTGTTTAATTTATTACAACCATTAAAATGATCTTGTGTTTTAAATATTGCAATTTGTTATTCATTTTTATAGCGCCACTGGAGCTTACATAAATTGAGACCAATAAAAGATTACATAACATCATAAGTTAAGCTTTATACTTTTCTACGTGTGCTTTTACCGTAATTTAGGTGACAAGTGGTATTGTTTATCATAATACGTATTAGGAATTTTGAAGGAACTTGCCTTCCATTGTAAACCACATTTGAGACAGGATACTGGCAGTACAGCTTTCTGGCAGCACAAGATAATTTTCAACTAGCAGTAAACTAAGTTTAATTAAAGGGTTAGTTCATATATTTTAAACTGGATTTTGTGGACAAGTTGTAAACTATTAATATCCATCCATCCATCCATCCATTATCTATACCCACTTCTTCCTTTCTGGGCCACGAAGGTCACTGGTGCCTATATCCAGCTATCAC